TACCAGCAGCACCGCGTCCTCACTCCCCCGACTCCTGACGTCCTGTGACGGAGAGTGCTGTGATACATGTAACCACCGAGACCCCCGTCTTCCTGTCCTGCCCCCCTCACCGCCCACCGAACCCTCCCCACCGCTGTCACCAGGACGCCAATCCGGCACACAATTCCCGTCATCATCCCAACAAGAACAGATACCGAGAATGACACCCAGCATACAGGACAAGAGAAGTGCTACTGTGCACAGTCCATATATACAGAATAAGAACAGATACCGAGAATGACACCCGACATACAGGACAAGAGAAGTGGTACTGTGCAGAGTCCATACATACAGAATAAGAACAGATACTGAGAATGACACCCGGCATACAGGGCAAGAGAAGTGGTACTGTGCAGAGTCCATACATACAGAAAAAGAACAGATACTGAGAATGACTACCGGTATTGCAGTGATATATATGACTGTTGGTACTGGGATCAGTGGTCGCTCGGTGGTCGTGTGACGGCCGGTACATCGGTCACTGGCGGTCAGACTCCAGTAAAATGGCCCCCCGGCCGGCTCACAAGGGGTTACGTCGGCGGGCCCAGAGCTGTATCTGTGGCTGACTTCCTTCCCCGCTCTGTTTACTGACTCGCAGACTTCCCCAGGAGATAAGGAGAACAGCCTGGCGCCTGCACTGGCCCGCTCCCCGCCCCTGGCGTCCTATGAGGCCCAGTACACATGGCGCAGCCCTCTGGGCACAGACTGGCACCTTGTGGGGGTCCCCCGTCTCTCCGTCCCAGGGAATGTGATCCCGGGAATTCATGGAACAGCGACCACACAGAGAGGACCCGCGGCTGCGTCCAGCCGGAGATCCAGATTGGTCCGGTGAATTGGTCGGGTTTCATGGCAGCTGAAACCCGAACACAAGATGTCAGGCAGATAGGGGGCAACCAAAATTAGGATAGGGGCTACTGGCCCCCCACTGAAAATAGTCTCAACTGTGATGTTTACATATGAATGGGTGGCGCTGTTCACATATGAATAAGCTGCGACTAATTCTCCCGAAAAAGTGTCTGCGTGTCACTAGAGTGTTCGGGTTCCGCTTGAAGAAAAGGTGGCAACCCTAGCTCATTCACATCGGGTGTATTGATCAGTATTGATCAGCGCAATGAGGCTGGGACTGACGTGTCATTTTGTGACATTTCAATAAAGTTAAAAAAAGTAAAAGTAAAACGCATCGCAGCTACATGACACACACCAGCACACGCGTGTTCTACGCAACACGCACCTCCGCTGGTATCAATGAGCCCATACTAGTGAATGAGTCATCACCTCTGTTCCCGGTACCAACTACTCCTTCAATAACATAACGTTTATATTGATATATTCTGCAGATTATTCCATCACTGACCTCAGTAGAGATCTGCAGATCATTTCTCCATCCCATCTGCCTCCTGACATATACAGAATGATATATTCTGCAGATTATTCCATCACTGACCTCTCTAGAGATCTGCAGAACATTGCTCCGTCCCATCTCCCCCTGACAGATACATATTGTTATATTCTGCGGACTATTCCACCACTGACCCCTCTAGAGATCTGCAGAACATTGCTCCATCTCTTAGGGAAGCCCAGGGATCCTTCTGCGTCCTTTTAGTTTTTACAGAAAAGGAGAGATGCTGCAGTGTTGCAATGCTCTGCAGACTGACCGTCCTCCATGAGGCTATAACAGATATGAGGACGGCGGATTCTTGCGGGGTGACGTGTTCCGCAGAGCGTCGCATAGTTGTGTTTGTTTATCGGAATGGTGCAGACAGACGGACGGACGGAGTGATAATGGCTCACAGTCCCTGAGAATGACCCCCCACCGCCCACCCCGCTCGCGCCACACTGCCCGCCACA